GCAAGCAAGCAAGCAAGCAAGCAAGAAAGAAAGAAAGAAAGAAAGAAAGAAAGAAAGAAAGAAAGAAAGAAAGAAAGAAAGAAAGAAAGAAAGAAAGAAAGAAAGAAAGAAAGAAAGAAAGAGAGAAAGAGAGAAAGAAAGAACAAGGGCAAGAAAGAAAGAAACAAAAGCAAGAAACAAAGAAGGCAAGAAAGAAAGAAAGAAGGAAGGAAAGAAAGAAAGAAGACAAGAAAGAAAGAAAGCAGGCAAGAAAGAAAGAAAGAAAGAAGGCAAGAAAGAGAAAGAAAGGAAGAAAGAAAGAAAGCAGGCAAGAAAGAAAGAAGGAAAGAAAGAAAGCAGGGAAGAAAGAAAGAATGAAAGAAAGAAAACAGGCAAGAAAGAAAGAATGAAAGAAAGAAAGATGGCAAATAAGAAAGAAAGAAAGGAAGGAAGAAAGAAGGGAGGTAGGGAGGGAGGAAGGAAGGAAGGAAGGAAAGAATGAAGGAAGGAAGGAAAAAAGAAGGAAAGAAAGAGAGAGAGGGGAAGGAAGGAAGGAAGAGAGAGAAAGAAAGAAAGAGAAAGAAGGAAAGAAAGAGAGGGGAAGGAAGGAAGGAAGGAAAGAAGGAAGAAAGGAAGGAAGGAAAGAAGGAAAGGAGAAAGAAAGAAAGAAAGAAAGAGGAAGAAAGAAAGAAGAGGGAGAGAGAGGGAGAGAGAAAGAGAGAGAAAGAAAGAGAAATAGTACAACAAGGAGCTATAATCATGTATTTCAACATACTACAGAATCTAAAGGGAAAATGAAACCCAACAAAAATAGTAAAACTATTAAAATGATTATCACACTTAAAAATTAATAGGGGATTTCTTTTTGTCTTATCTCTGAAGATTGGGTACAAGCAGAGCAAAGTATATATCTACCATAATCAAAACAAAATAAGCGATGACTATTTACACATTCAAGCTCATTAACAACATGGTAAGTCACTGTCAAAATAGAAGGAAATATATACAACCTAACTTGAAGAGGCAAAGTTGAGGTTGCTGGCACATAATAAACTAAAGTGTATGAAGGAACAAACAAAAGCCTGACAGCAAAAACACTATGAGATGTGTAGACAACTCAAAATATGTCCCTATATGGCAACACTTTTCAATTTATGAAGTGATATTCAACTACCCACATAATTAGAAAAATTCAAACATGACTCTCTTTACCGTTGGTTAGCCATGTGACAGCCAATACTGTTGAAGTCTAAGAACCTACACTGCTGTAGATAGGACCGCCAAGAAACTGGAGTCCTACTCGCTGTTGTTGGGAATGGAAGACTAACATATCTAGGGAACAGTGAATCAATAGCTAGCAAAGATGTGTATGTAATGTTTAGTTTTTATTTAGTATTTCCATGTGCCGTACAAGTATGATATATATATATATATATATTTATATGTACAATTTTACTGATGACATATTCTTTCAAGTTGTCACAACGGAGTCTATCAGCTGACATATCAGAAAAATAATGAATATGACTAATCTTCACAAAGAAGATCTATGTCTGTGGAATTGCCATGGCATGTGTTTTGTTATATAGTGTTAGGTGATTTTTTAAATGCTATTTTCCATATGATATATTTTTCCTGAAATCAATTGCTCTACAACAGACTGTCTTTTTCCATTTTATGTTTGCCTTTCAATATCTACCTGAAATATTCCTCATTCTCTGTTTCTAAACCCTGAAACATACAATGGTGATTGCAAAAGACAGATGTTTAGTAGACATTTTAATGTTATAGCCATCAGTAATGAATTCTCTGGAAGCATAATCAAAAGGAGTAAATATGTTGTGTGTGTGTGTGTGTGTGTGTGTGTGTGTGTGTGTCTCTAAAGGACTTTTCTGCATTGCAACTTGGAAATCCTTTAGGAAATAAAGTCATCAGCTCTTGGTTACCTTGAGAATTGATATTTTTCCTTGTTAGATATATCCCCATAAGACACCCAGTCATAAATAGCTTGTGGAGTTATTATTAATATTCCTACTATAACCATTGTCACATTTAGCAAAGTTCATAATACCTCAAGTAACTACATATATAGTGTTTATAGTACAGTGTTTATAGTATAATACTTCAAGCTGTAAAAAAATAAGGTAATTTGACAGACTTTCCAAACAACATGCATTATTGAATTAGCCAAAAAATATCTCTTAGATAATCTTTAAATCACCTGCATGTTTTAGGGTTGAATGTGGTATGTTGATAAAAGAATGGATCATCTATGCTCTCTGTTCATCAGGGTGAGTTAAGAATTGAAGTGCAAAAATGTTTTGTCCATATTTTGGGATTCAATTTATTAAAGAAAGCTGTTAAAGTATTTTAAGAAGAAGTATTTTAACCACATTGACTTGTACATAATGGGGAAGACCTTCAAAGCAAGAAGCAATAATAATTTAAAATTAAAAAGACTTTGCATTTCTAATATCCTGTTAAATTAATACTAGCATGTAACAACACAGAATGTGATTACATTAACTAGCCTGTGTTCTCAGCATTTTTTTCTGTGATTTGAAGAATAATATCTGTTATATAGGGACACATGGTATAAGTCATTGGTGAAGCTGGACAATACTTTGATAAGATGAAATTATATATTATGATAATACATTCCTATAAATGTTGTTACTGGATGATTTGTGAGAATATGGTGTTTTATAAAGTCTGAATGTACTTGACTAAGGAACTCTGGACATGCTCTTTCCATAATTTATGGTTTCTGAAAAGATTACTAGGCATGAGATTTACAACTATTTTTTTCAAATGTATCATGAATCATCTCTATCACTAGATTTTACTCCTTCACTTGCCTACAGTATTATCTAAAATCATCATTTTATTTTAGGTTTTAATGACAAAAATAACCAGATTAAAGTCCTTCATTTGCCCAGTCCTTGAAAATTTTTCTAACTTTCACTTATTTTTGGTTCTTTATGCATTCTCCTTTCTTAAAATAATTCATGTTTTAGAGCTTGAAACTAATTCTGTTAATATCTTTCTCATATATGATCTTAAAGTGTCCATTTAAGATGACTTTGTTTTATTTAATGTTAAAAAAATCCTGAGAATGAGGTTTTTTCCCCAGGAAATATCAGTAATTCTTTTTATGGGAAATGTCCCATTACATGGCTTCTATTACAACTTATGAAAGATAAAACTCCTATACCTACCTTTCTAAAAGTGTAATATTAAAACCATAGCTTTGGAAGATATACCCTGTTAATTTGACCTCCTACTCCAAAGCAAGAATAGAATTGTCTTCTGTATGATTAACTTCATTTAATGTTAATAGATATACAAATAATCACAAAAAGTAGATGTGAATTTCTCAATAGAGCCAAGAATTGTTATTATTTGATTGCTACTTCTTGGTCAGTTATCTAATCATACCCTATATTAGAAGAACTTTCACACCAAGACTTCTTTTATTTTTATATTTACTTATTTTATTTCATAGCTTTACTATTTAAATTTCTATTTTTTCTACAATTTAGAAAAATATATTATATAATTTCTTTAATTTAGATAAACACATTACTTATGCTAGGCCTCTCTGAGCATTTTTATCTTTAGTTTACATTTATATTCCTAGGATTCATCCTAAATGCATTTTTGTGTTTCTCAGCTTTTACAACCATTTATCATATGTAAAGTTTCACTAGACTATGTATGTTTTCAAACTATGACTAGAAGATGAAATATTTGTTGCTAGCTATATCCTTATTAAAATATTTTTCTAGTGAAGTTATTTCAGAAGAAACTTGTATCTCTTATCACAGATGGTGAGGATTGAAAATCCTTATTAGAACAAAAAATAAAATGGTTTCCTGTATGTAACAATGAAATATCTGATAAAACAATACCACTCATTAGTCATTAAAAGTGAGCCAGGATTGAACTCATGATGGAGCTTTTGTTCCTTAGCACTGAAAATAAATTAAAGCACTCAAGTAATAAATGTTTTGAAATAGATATATGTTCCAGTAAATGTGAATTCTTGTTACTGGGATACTCTAGATTAGTTTGTATCATAATGCATGTTTTAAAGACTAAACAAGATTGCTATACATGTTTGCTTCTAGTTCTCATTTAGAGCACATATAACCAATTAAGAAATGATATGCTTCTTAAAATGTCCACGTTGTATGAGAATGAAGTATTTTTTCTAAATTATTTTCACAGAAAATTAGTAACAGGTTACTAAATGTATGCATATGTAACCTTCTCCAAAGGAGTGCTTTAAAACACAGCTTTAACTGTCCAGAAATGCAAACTACTCATTGCAAGAAGCCACCATAAAACAGAAAGTACTTTTAGCATTACTATTAGAAATATCACATGCTAACTGCAGTTAAGATATTATCCCTGGCACCAATTCACTGAGTTTTCTTTTCCTTCCATTCCTACAGAGTAGCAGATGGTGGATGATAAAGGGAAATCATGTCAGAATGACATGTTCATCTTTCCGGTGATTCAATAGATAATTGTATTATCGTCTTATTTCTTGCCTTCTTTTTTTTTTTTCCTTTTTGCCAGTCCTGTGTCTTGAAGTTTGGGCCTGGGCACTGTCTCTGAGCTTCTTTTACTTAAGGGTAGTGTTCTACCACTTGAGTCATAGCATGCTGCGTCTGGTATTTTTGAGTAGTTTATTGAAGTAAGAGACTTATGGAGTCCTTCCCAGGCTAGCTTCCAACTGAGATCTTCAAGTCTCAGCCACCAAACTACATAAAATTACAGGCATGAACCACCATTGCCCAATTTGTTTCTCACGTTTCTAAATATCACAGAAGTCTGCTTATTACCACACACACATCTTGGTTGATACTCATTTTAGCACTGGTAAATTGAGTGAGATGTGCATTGTGATGAACTCTAAAGTGACTTGTAGAAATAGTTGCACATTGGTAGATCTGAAAGAGAAGACAGGAGTTTTCTTTCCTGTGATATGATGTTTGTTTTCTATAGATCTGATCCTCAAAAGACAAATGAAGAATAAATCAGACGAGATGGTGTTCATCTTACTGGGACTGACAGATGACCCTCAGCTACAAATACTAGTTTTCCTATTTCTCTTTGTCAACTACATCCTGAGCCTGATGGGGAACTTTGTCATCATCCTGCTCACACTGCTGGACCCCAACCTCAAGACTCCCATGTACTTCTTCCTTCGAAATTTCTCCTTCTTAGAAATTTCTTTCACCACAGTTGACATCCCACACTTCTTGAACAGCATTGTCACAGGAGACAAAACAATCTCCTACAACAGTTGTGCAACTCAACTATTCTTTTTCTTTCTACTAGGAATTACAGAGTTTTACCTCCTGGCCGCGATGTCCTATGACCGCTACGTGGCCATCTGCAAACCCCTGCATTACCCGGTCATCATGAACAGCAAGGTGTGCCACCAGCTGGTGCTCAGCTCCTGGGTGATTGCATTCTTAACCATCTCTCCCCCTTTGCTCTTAGGACTCCAGCTGGATTTCTGTGCATCCAGAACAATTGACCATTTTCTATGTGACACCTCCCCAGTCCTGCAGCTCTCCTGCACAGACACAAGTTTCATAGAAAGGATGGCTTTCATCTTAGCTTTGTTGACGCTTATCTTCACATTGTTCTTAGTGGTCCTCTCCTACATATTCATCATCAAAACCATCCTAAAATTCCCCTCTGTCCAACAACGAACAAAGGCGTTTTCCACCTGTTCCTCACACATGGTTGTTGTCTCCATTACTTATGGGAGTTGTATCTTCATGTATATAAAGCCTTCTGCAACAGAAAGAGTGACTTTCAATAAAGGTGTAGCTGTGCTTAATACCTCAGTGGCCCCTTTACTAAATCCTTTCATTTATACTCTAAGGAACAAGCAGGTAAAGAAAGCTTTTAAACATGTGCTTCAAAGGATTTTTTTTTTTGCAAAACCAAGAAGCAATAGCTATGTACACTCAACATGTTGTTGAGACATGTATGATAAAGCAGCACAAAATTGCACTTTTCTGATCTGTCTCAAGTTTTACCTTGAATATTTATATCATATTACCTTTAAGAACCTGCTCTATATTTAATCTTCTTTGAAAGAAGATCTTAGTAACTTATATAAGAAAACATTTCTAAAATCCTAGAGGTGACAATGGATTGTTAAAAAAAAAATCCCACTCTGCATTCACTGTTAACTTGGGTTTGGGACATGTCTAAATGTTCAATCCAATTTGCAAATTACTGGTTTCTAATCGCTGATTTCTTTTACCTAAAATATACTTCTGTTATTTCTGTCTTCTTTGTTATTCCTTTGGGATTCTGGTTGTAAAGGATAATTGTACAGGGTACAATTAATAAAAAAAAATAAAAGGAAAAACAACAAATATTAGATAATGTATTGTCTTATAATCTTTTATTTTTTTGAACTTCTGGATTTTATGATCTGTATTTAGCCTGGGTGTAGCAAGATTTCTACTTCAAGTTTTTTTCTTGAAATTCTGTTAAATCAATATATTTTCTAGTAGTTTACATTGATAAGGGAATAAAATATTCCAACCAAGGGTTATTCTTATAATGATCTTTATAATATTATTGCTTTCTGAAAAGGGAATGAAGCACATAAAGACAAAGGTTTTAGAAGAAGTAGAAAATGGAACTCCTTAACACTCTGAGACAATGCCTAGAATCATTCAATGTCAGTAATAGTTATGATACTTTAAGTAATAAGTAAAAATTAGGAACAATTCCAGTTGTTAAGTGAGCATTGTAAGCTTCCTGTGAATTGTTGTGAAAGTTTAAAATATTATCAATACCTTATTCAACCTTAAAGATAGTCGTTCCAGAAATAAAAGCTTTCATCTTAACACCGACAAAGGGAGAGGAAGGGATAAATGATCTATCATCTTTTGGAGTCAAGTTAATGTAGAAGAACACAAAACAGCTTCTTTCCCTAGAAGCTGCCTGAATTATTGTGTGGCCACCCCAAATTAATTAATCCTACCACAGCAGAGGATATTAGGTTTTTCTAAGACAAAATTCACTAGGTGAAAACTAACGAATTATTTCTGCAAAATAAACCTTATACCAGTGAAGGATTTTAACTTGCATCATGTTCACATGGAATGTTGAGTTTTTTTATTAATCACAAAAATAAAAAAGACATTTGGATCATATGTACCAAAAAACATACACAAATAAAATATTTCTTTCCAATGGTGATTCATTTGAGGTCAATACATATTTTGAAAGTTTGACTAATATATAATACACAGAAAGAGGCTTATGTTTAAGTATAAAAAATGATAAGCTTGTTTATGCATAAAATACTTTACATTTTCATATTTTCTAAGAATTATGTAAAGTACAACTAATACTGTATCAAGATTATGAGCATTTTATCCCTTATTACTATAAATTGCTATATTTTTCACCACCTTCAGGAATGAAATATTTGCTTTGTCGCTATTTTTACTTCATATATGAATGGAATTATCCAGTATTTCTGTCTTTTTTTTTTTTGTCAGTTGTAGAGCTTGAACTCTGGGACTGGGCACTGTCCCATTACTCTTTAGCTCAAAGATAGCTACCACTTGAGCCACATCACCACTTTCAGTTTTCTGGTGGTTTATTGGATATAAGAGTCTCCTGGACTTTCCTACCCAGGCTGGCTTTGAACCATGATCCTCATATCTCAGCCTCCTGAGTAGCTAGGATTACAGGTGTGGCCCACTGGCAACCGTCTGATATTGTCCAGTCTTTCTTTCAGTTAGTTTCCTTCCTAAAGGCTACTTATTGTAGTTTTTAACTTGGAAGTGCCTGTATTGATCATTTATCTCTTATTGCTAACCAGTATTCCATTTCATTCCAAATCTATTCAATATTTATCTGTTAGGAGGCATGAATTTTTATCTTCTGATTGATTTAGTATACCTAAAGTTGCTATGAGCATTTGACAACAATTTTTTTTGTGGTGAAATGCTTTCATTTTCCTGGGTTAAACATTCAGTAGTTTGATGGCATGATTATTTGAGAGGTACATATTTAAACATTTTTTCAAAGAACATATTAAAATAGTTTTATAAAATGATATAATTTCATATTCGCACTATCCGTTCATGGATATGGAAGTTGCAGCTCACTATCAGTGGATCCACCCCACTTATATAAAATGGTTATAGAAAGTAATTTTGTGCTTTTAAAGATTTTTTTTTTTAATTTAGCACATACAAGCAATAAAGGAGGGGATTCATTATAGCATTTCAGTTACATGTATATGGTATGTTGATTATATTTGCCCTCTGTTACTCTTCATATGCACCCTGTCCTTCTCAACTTCCCCCTCCACATTCCTAGTAGCACACACAACTCTTTCCCTCATGTATTTTAATTCCACCCCAGCTCTCTCAAGGAGAGAAAATAAGACAGTTCTTTTTGAAACTGAGTTGTTTTACTTAATAGTATGACTTTCATATCCATCCACTTCCTTGCAAAGAGCACAATATATTTAATGTAAGTTTTCCAACTATTTCCTAGTGACCCTCTAGATTTCAGTGTTATTTGTTATAATGACTTTTCCATGTCTAATTTTACTAATTTGTATCTTCTTCTCTGTTTTCTTTAACATTTGTCAGTCGTACATAGCCTGTTAAAGAAGAAGATATTGTTAGCAACCCTTTCAACTATCATTTCCAGCATGCTGTTGCTTCAGTTTTGCTAATTTCATCTCTTATGTTTAGTCTTCCTTTTCTGCTACTAAGCTGGACAACGGTCATCTTTCTTTTCTAAGGCCTTGGGGTATGTCATTGTTATACATTGAGATGTCTATGAGTATTTTCTCTTGTAGGTGTTGTAGCTATAAACTTTCTTCCTAGAAGCATATTCCTTTTATCCTTTTATAACTTGTTTTCATTTGTATTTGAGTCTACCAATTTTTTAATTTCTTATTTCTTCAAGTGAATATAGATGGTTAAATGTATATATTTTATTGTCAAAGTGATGTACAGAGGGGCTATAGTTACATAAGTAACTATAAGTACATTTCTTTTGAAGTTTGTTACCCCTCCCTCATTTTTCTCCTACATTCCCTCCTCCCACAGTACACCCCCCCAAGCTGTAAAGATCATTTCCAACATACTGTCTTGTGTATATTTCTGTTGCATTGGTTTCCCCCTTATCTTTTGTCTCACCAAGTTAAAATGTATATTATTCAATAGCATTTTCATTTGTGCTTTTTCTGTAGGGTTTGAGTGTTAATTTGTACTTTTATATCATGTAATCTGGGAAAATCTAGGAAGTTATTTAAATTTCTTGTATTAAGACTTGTTTTATGTCCTACATTGTAATATATTTCAGATGAATTTCCATAGACTGTTTGAAAGCATGTTCATGGAATAGACAACGAGTAGAATATTGTTCACGTCTGTTAAGTTCATTTGATTTACAGTGTTCCACAGACAGCATTGTGTTCTACGTAAATGCTAAAGCAAAAAAAATGCCTTTATATTATGTGACTCCGGGCCTCGTTCATGTCTGGTTCAGCAGCCAATTGGCTCCCTATGAATCCTTTGTTAATGGTGTTTGAGTCTCATTCTTCCTGCACCTCTACTGCTTCCTTCGGCTATACTGCTTCTTTGTAATCGAGAACTAGCATTCCCACTCTCTCAGTTCTGTCTCCTAAATATCCTAGGAAACGGTCAGATAAGTTGATGTTAGGCTAAATGAACCCCAAGATAAGGACTCAAATGGCTTTTCTTTCCTGCTATTGTTTCTAACATATTTAGAAGATGATTTCTTTGTTGCTTTGTATGTCCCTCCCCCACGGTATAATCCCTGTTTTCACTGTATTTGATGTTGGTATAATTTGTGGAGGGGAAGGGAAAAAACCAATTGTTTAAATAGGGATACAGGTGGACCCATTGCAACAATGAGATGTACAAGGCGTTATGCGGTAAAACAAACTTTACAACCTTGGCGGTGGGGCAAGGGTGGGGGGAAGGTAAGGGGGAGGGAGGGAAATGGGAAGGGGGGGAGATGGAAAGGGATGGGAAGGGAAAAAAAAGAGGAGGCAACAATGCTTGATAAGAAATGTACTCATCACCTTGCTCATGTAATTGTACCCCCTCTGTATGGTATTTTCACAATAAAAAAGTATTAATTAAAAAAGAAAATGTGGTATATATACAATGGAATTCTATGCCTCCATCAGAAAGAATGGCATGGCGCCATTTGTTAGGAAAGGGAAAGACTTGGAAAAAATTATATTAAGTGAAGTAAGCCAGGCCCAAAGAAACATAGGTCCCATGGTTTCCCTTATTTGCCATAACTAGTGTATATCTGGGACAAGCAGAAAAGGTCAAAAGCTATGTATATATGACCAGATAAGATGATGTGAAGTGAAATGAACCCCAAGATAGGGACACAACTTGTTTTTTGGTTTTTTTTTTTGCTATTGTTTTTAATGTATCTAAAATGTACTATGTGATTTTTTTGTTTCTATTGTATGTTCTTCCCCCACGGTATAAACCTGTTTTCATTGTATTTGACTTCTGTGCTGTGCATCTTGTATATACATTTTTTCTAATTTGGGGAGGGGAAGGGAAATAACAAAATGCTGAAGCAAGGTTTGCCCATTGTAACAATGAGATGTACAAGACACTATGTAGAAAACAAACTTTACAACTTGGGAGGGAATGGGGAGTTGAGGAGGTGGAGAGGAAAGGGATGGCAGGGGAAAAACAAAGGACTAGGTAACAATGCTCGATAGGAAATGTACTCATTACCTTACTCATCTAACTGTAACCCTTCTGTACACCATTTTCACAATAAAAAATAATTCTTTATAAAAATACCATTTTTCTGGAAGAAAGGTACTGAAATACTTAAATCTGTTTTAGAAGAAGAAAAAATTTTAAATAGAACATTACTAACAACCTGCCATAGTGCTCAGAATCATTCAATGATAATACCAGTTACAATGCTTTCTGTAGGTCCAAAATACAAAGAATATCATATCTGATTGTATATATAGTCATCTAAGAAGTGGAGGGCTTCCTCTTACTCCAATAGAGGGAGAGGAATAGATAAATGATGTGATTTATCATCTTCCTGAAATCAATTTAATGGAAAAAGAACAACTGCACTGCAAAATATACCATTCCTAGCTACACACTCTCTGAACTTTTGGTGGCCAGACACATATAGTACTACTAGCAGAAGCGAGGAGAGTGAATTTACTAGGTGAAAGAAACTGGAATTGAGAGATTTTGTTTCTGATAAATAAATATTATATCAGCTAACAATTTTAATTGGCACTATGTTGACATAACATTGAGTACTTTTAAAACAATGACTTCAAAAGGCAGTTATAGGTCCCAAAATAACATTATATAGAACTATTTCTTTACAATAATGATTTATTTGAAGGCAATACACATTTTGAAAGCTTTACTGATGTGTAATATACAGTGAGATGCCTATGTTAAGTGTAAAATGTAATAATCTTCGACACATATAAAAATACTTCACAGTTTCTAAGAATTTTGTAAAGTAAAACCATCACTATAGCAAGACAATGAACCATCATTATATCACTATATCATGATAAAGAAACATCATCATATTAAGATAATAATCCATCATTACCCAAAGCTTCAGAATGAATCATTAGAACCCCTGCTTTCTATCTCTCTCACCATATTCTACAATGAAATATTTGCTTTCTCTCTTTCAATACTTTACAGTCTCTAGAACAGAATATAAATAGAAGAATTCAGTATTTTTTCCTTCCTGGATTCTAATCATTTGAGATTCATCCCTGATACTTTATTTCATATTGTTTGCCAGTATTCCATTTTATTTCTACACAAGCATATTAATCTGTTTATCTATTGGGAGGCATAAATTTGCTTCTTTTGTTGATTAGTATACCGAAAGTGCTACTAGCATTTGATTATAAAATTTTGTGGCCATATGCTTTCATCCTGCTGGGCTAAGTACCCAGAAGTATGATTGCTTATTTGTATGGTAGATATGTGCTTAACTTTTAAGAATGTGCCAAAATACTTTGTAAAACAGTGATACAATTTGATATTCACACAAGATGTCTATTAGACTCTCAATGAATCCACACTTTACTAAAAATTTTTAAACTTTTTAACTTTTTTGATTAAACTATCTCAACTCTAAAAGTAAGATATTTCTTCTGTGTCTGTGTGTCTGTGTGTGCTTGAAATCAAGGCCTCAAGCTCTCACTTGGCTTTTTAATTCAAGGCTTGCTCCTCTACAATTTGAGCTATACCTCCACTTCTAGGTTTTTGCTGGTTAATTATTTTGCTTTACTTTAACTTAGTCCCATGATTTCTAAGTGTGGCTGCCTGCTGCTTCTGCTGCTGCAGCTGCTGCTGCAGCTTCTTCTTCCTTCTTCTTCTTCTTCTTCTTCTTCTTCTTTTCTTCTTCTTCTTCTTCTTCTTCTTCTTCTTCTTCTTCTTCTTCTTCTTCTTCTTCTTCTTCTTCTTCTTCTTCTTCTTCTTCTTCTTTCTTCTTCTTCTTCTTCTTTCTTCTTTTCTTCTTCTCCTTCTTCTCCTTCTTCTTCTTCCTCCTCCTCCTCCTCCTCCTCTTCTTCCTCTTCCTCTTCCTCCTCCTCCTCCTCCTCCTCATCATCATCATCAGACTATTCTGATTTATCTACTCTGTCTTCAAGCCTTGATATTCTGTCTTACACTTCATCAGTCTATTTGGAAGTGTTTCAACTTTGATTTATTGAACTTTTCATTTGCCAAAATTCACTTTGATAATTTTCATATGCTTACATACTTCTTGAAGTTCCTTTTCATATTCTTCATTGTATTCCTTATTTCCTTCAGTTGTTTATGTTTTCTTTGAATTCATTCAGGTGTTGGTTTCTCTTTGATTTCATGAATCATTCTTATAATTACTCCTCTGCCTTACTTATCTGGAATATATTGTTACTCCACTATCACTGAAATTATTACAGTGGAATTGTTAACTTCTGAGGGAATCATGTTGCCTTGGTTTTGTTTTCTTTATATTTTTTGTGTTTCTACATAGAGATTTGTCTTTTGGGGGCATTTTTTAGATTTATTTATTTGCAGTGTTCAGATGAGATAATATTCTCTCAAGGTTAAAGAGTATTTTCTTGCCACTGGACTAGTGGACTGGACAATTCAATAGTCACAGGCTCAATGTGCAAAGACTTAAGCTATTCCCCAATACAATTCAAAGGGAAGAAAACTAACTGGGTATGTATTCACAATGGATAAGGAAACTTTTTATGGATACACATAAAAAAAAAACCCAATTCCTTCCACGTGTACTATAAACTTAGAAGAATAAAACAGCAAGTATAATATAGCATGTGCTAAGAAGATATCCATAAGAGCAAGAATCAAAAGAAGGTAAAGAAACAATATTAGAGAATAGTAGTAGAAAAATAGAGAGGATATAAAGGATATATAAACTAGGAAATGAAAAAAAAGAATGGAAGAATCAGAGAAGAACCAGCTAAAAATAAAGTGAGATCAAGAACAATGACTAATGAAAATATTAAAATGGTGAAGAGGAAAATGGAAAAAGAAAATAAAATAGGTGGGAGAAAGAAAACTGGTCTAACTGAAAACAAAAAAATATTTTTTAAATAAGGAAGAAAAGAAAGAGGAAGAAGAAAGAAAGAGAAAAGCTGGCTACACAGACTCATATATAACCCAAGGATTCAAGAAGCTGAGGCAGGACAATTGTAACCCCTAAGTCAATAAACCCTCAAATGATAAGAGGCTATCTTAAAAAAATAAAGTTAAATTAAACAGGCACCAGTGGTTCACGTCTATAATCCTAACTACTCAAGAGGCTGCGATCCAGTGAATTGTAATTTGAGGTTAACAGGGCAGAAAAGTCTGTGAGATTCCCATCTCCAAAATAACCTGCAAAAAAATGCCAACTTGGGGGCATAGTTCAAGTGGTAGACAGACAAGTAAGAAAACTGTACACATAAGCACAGAAAGTAAGTTAAGCAAACCAGCTTAGTTACAGTGTGCCTCTTAATTGTAAACTATACTTATAAGAGAAAAAAAACCAACTAACCAAATAAACAAAAAGTAAATAAATACAAAATAAAAAGAATAGGGCAATACAAAGCAAATCAATGAAATTAGATATTCAATAAATAATGCAAGCACAAAAACAAAAAGAAATACATAATACAATTTAAAAATTTATTTATATCAATGTGATTTTCAAGGTTTCTATACTGAGATAAAATTTGAGGGAAAATTAAAAAAATATTTTTAATTTTTAAAAAAAGATGAACAAACTGAGCACTGGTAGCTCACACCTATAATTCTAGCTACTCAGGAAGATCTGAGGACTGTGGTTCAATAACACCCTGGGCTTGCTTCCTTCCTTCCTACTTTCCTTCCTTCTTTCCTTTCTTCCTTCCTTCCTTTCCTTTCTTATCTCTTTTTGAGCATGGTAATTTAGAGATTTAAAGTGTGAAATATTAAACACAGTGTGGATTACACCGCTATGGGTTGCAAGTTCTGTGTCTGTTGTATCTGTGTTAACCACTGAAATTGAGCTAAGAAAATGCTACCTAACTCTTCCCTGAGTCAATTATCATACAAATTTGAACTCAGCTGTGACAAATTCAGAAATAGTTAAGCTGAAAACGAGAATATAAAACGTGACAAAAGGTCTTTATAACACATTTAAAAGACATATTAATATTTATTGTTACTAAGTTATTATTAAGAGGCTCATGATTCAAAAGATAAATAATAACTGCCCTCACTTTAACATTGGTCCAGTCATAGTTTAATCTTTCCTTTTAGAAAGAAAATGCTTTATGCCAAAAAGTTACTTCATTTTTGTACCTGTTACCAGACTAATGAAACTTTGTACAACTACTCAAAATTACAAAATGTAAACATTTTGTCTAGACCCTTTTTTGCCATAAGTCATCCATTTCTCAATCTGGGGATGAAAAAAAGCTAAGTAGCAGGCTTCCAATATTTTAGGGATGGAGAACTTGAATGCCTTGTGTTTTGTGACTTTTCTGACATTTTTTTTGAGGACATAACTAAAATGTAATTAACAAGGCATTCTGACATTGTTGAATTTCAGTTTTTCTAAAAAAATTTTCCCCAGAAGAAACAAATACATGTTGCATGTTATAAACTATAGGAGGATCATCTGGGTTGGAAAAATTTATATTAACTGAAGTAAGCCAGGCCCAAAGAAACATAGATCTCATGGTTTCCCTTATTTGCAATAACTAGTATATGTCCGAGTCAAGCAGAAAAGGTCAGATAAGTTGATGTTAGGGAAATGAACCCCAAGATAAGTATTCAAATGTTTTTTTCTTTCATGCGATTGTTTCTAACATATTTATAAGATGATTTCTTTGCTGCTTTTTATGTCCCTCCCCCACAGTATAACCCCTGCTTTCACTGTATTTGATGTTGGTATAATTTGTGAAGGGGAAGGGAAAAAACAAATCATTTAAATAGAGATACAAGTGGACCCATTGCAACAATGAGATGTACAAGTCATTATGTCAAAAAATGAACTTTAAACTTTGGTGGGGGGGGAGATCAGGTTGGGAGGACCGGGTGGGTATGGGAAGGGATGGGAAGGGGAGACAAAGGAGACAACAATGCTTGATAAGAAATGTACTCATTATCTTGCCCACGTAACCCCTCTGTATGGTATTTTCACAATAAAAAAGAAAAAGAAAGAAAACATAGGAGGAAAACATAATAGACAAACCCCTAGAGACATAGACTACATCTACAACATAATTGATTTTGTGAACACTTCAATTAGGTTCCTTTGGGGACCCATTTGGTATTAGAGAGGAATAGAGAATAGAGAATTATTCCTACAGTGTTAGGCTATGCAAGAAGCAAAGAGAAAGACTGATGAAAGAATGATTAGTTGTTGAATAATTGTTTCAAATTATCCTTTCAATTACTAGTTTTAACGAAGACAGATTCACCAAGGAGCTCTAGTAATTAACAATAAAACATGAATTAGAGGTTGGAGTGGAAAATAAATCCTGACAGCTTAGAGATTCTGTAGCCAACAATAATGAGGAGAAGCAATTTCCTGCGGAGATCTGAAGTTCTTTTGAGAAATAAACTATATGCCGGTTGAGTGACTTAGCAAAGTATTACAGATTTCTTAAATAAATATACAGATGTACTTATAGATGCAGACAAAAACAGATGGAAAACAAGACACCTCAGATTAGGTGTTTTGGAGTTTCATTTGATGACAAGTCTTTAGAAAATGGATTCCTAGCTTGCAAAGAACAGAATCATGGGAATGCCAGACCGTGTGGCACTTGCTCTACCAAGGCGAGCCAAGCAAAACCTCACTTGGCACTTTGAATGCCAGGGAGCATTGATGGGGCTTGAAGTCATGACTCTGGGCACCAGGGCTCTCAGATTATCAGGCCTCATGAAACCAAAGAGCTTGAACAGACCTGAAGAAGTTTTCTCAATTCCTGTAGCAGTCAGCCCACAATCCCTGCCTGGGAACAAAGATATCCTCATGATTACTCAACTGTATTGCTTTTGCTTTTTTCTTTTCCTTGCTCCTTTCTTTCACTATAAAGCTTTTACATTGAAGATAAGCCTAGAGAACTGTATTACTCTAAAACACCCGCTTGAAGTGTTCTTCCCCCTTCCCCACTTCAGAAAAATTTCATGAAAGAAAAAAAGATTAAAAATAGCTCATCACAATTAAAATCTGATGCTTTGAGTTCCTGAAAGATGACAGAGTAAGCAACTCAACGGATTAGTCTGTTGACTGAAGAAACCATGAAGTTAAGAGATGAGAGAATCCTATTTTTAGACTCTGGTGTCTTATAAGGAACAGCAACAGAGGAGTAGTTAGTGAAGAAAAAGGTGATAAATTTTTATTAGAAATGCTTACAGTGTTGTGGGCATTCATATTCATAGCATTCCTCATTTCCAAAACACTGAGGGAGCTGTAGTTACAGCAGCCTGCACTCCTGGTGTGATTTTCTGGCCTTAAAGCACCAACACAAAACTGGTTCTTCATACTGAACTGTACTCTTTTGATTGTGTATTTTCACCAATTTGGAATTTCCCTGAGGGACTGTGCTGTGGAGGTTCACAGCTCTTTCAATAATCTCGTAGAGATGGAGTGGCTTTTAAGCAGTGGTTATAGCTGAGAATCTGAGTGAATTTCAAAGAAAAGTGTTATGGTTAAGTGACAGTAAGTGTTCATACATTGATTGTTGAGGGAGAAGACAGTAAAGAAGCAAATAAATGAGTCTTAAGGATACTTTTATTCTAAAAATCAACCTCTGAGAGGAAAAGTTTATATCAAGTTATGGATATTGTCAAATTCTGATGCCCACACCCTCTAAAATTCCATTAAAAATAAAGAAACCACGGAAATAAAGAAATAAAAAACATTAAGAAAATCATGGAAAATAATTTAGGATAACATCACTGTACCAGAAGTCTCAAGAACTTCTCGGGAAATAGAACACACACAGGTTTAAACTAGATGTTAAAAAAAGATACATAACTATTATATGTCTGGGACAAGCAGAAAAGGTCAGATAAGATAATGTTAAGTGAAATAAACCCCAAGATAGGGACACAAGTGGGTTTTTCTTTCTTGCTATTGTTTCTAATGTATTTATAAGGTACGATGCAATTTTTTTTGTTGCTTTGTATGTCCCTACCCCACAGTATAACCCCTGATTTCATTGTATTTGATGTTGGTATAACTTAGGGAGGGGAAGGGAAAAAACAAATTGTTTAAATAGGGATACAGGTTGACCCATTGCAACAATGAGATGTAGAAAACACTATGTTGAAAAACGAACTTTACAATTTAGGTGGGTGGAGGGGGAGTGTAGTTGGGAGGTGGGAGGGAAGGAATAGTAGGGGAAAAACAAAGGAGGAGGCAGCAATGCTTGATAGGCAATGTGCTCATTATCTTGCTCATGCAACTGTAACCCTTCTGTACAATATTTGCACAATAAAAAAACTTATTAAAATAAAACTATACAAGAAAACATACAAAGAAAAAAAAAAACCACAGGTGTTCGCTCTCAGGATATAAAAGGAAGGTAGGTTCTTCCCAAAGAAGTCTCAGATAAAGCCCAAGTTTCAGCATTTGCCAACTGGAGAGGAATGGGGAAATGAAGCAACCATGGTTTGAGTTCATTCATGATGTTTCCTGGTGAGGGTGCTTGCTGCCCAAAATACAGGATGAAGACATATGCATTAAAATAACAAAGAATGGCATCCACAATGACAATAGAATACCTAGGTTCCCAATAGTATAGGCTAGTATATAGCATAGGCCAGTATAGGCCAGTTTTTATAAAGAAGAAATGGACATGCAAAAGGAATAGAACATGGCAGATCTAGGAAGTAGTGCCTGACAGGTTCTCTGTGCTCATGCACTTGAAAAAATAACTTCAGAATTGCCTGATGAAAATTTTTATCGATTGCTCTTACTACTCTTTATAGATTATTTAAAACTAAATTCTGGTATTCTTGCAAAATGATCTTCTCTTTTTTGTAACATCCATCTCTCATTACCAGGATTTTTAGGGCATATACACTGTAAACATGTAATCATGTACAATAAGGTCAAAATGGTAGGCATGAAGAACAAAGGATGTTCAGAATAAGGAAGTTAAATAAAGCAATGAAGTGTAATTGCAATTTTAGGTTCTGGGCCAAAACACCATATGTCAAATAAAGAGACAAAAAATTTTACTATACAGTTCATACAGCCATGGAGAGACAGCACTGCAGTTCATGATCAGCCATCACTGAGTATAGACATGAGGTTTAAGTGGCCAAAGAAACAAGAGTAGGAGGAAACAGGTGTTCATGGTATTTATGATCTTTCCTCTGACATTGTCTCAGAACTGTTTCTTTGAGATTGGAGAAGTTGTGAATGATCTCCTCGTTTCAGGAGAGCATTTTGGTTCCCATAAGATGACTACACTTATTTCAAGATATTGTCTCATCATTACAGGTAACTGTCCAACTTAGGACAGGTAACTGTCCTTTACTTGTCTGAAGCCAGGCACTGGTGCTCATGCCTGTAATTTTAGCTACTCAGGAGGCTGAGATCTGAGGATCATGATTTGAAGCCAGCCTGGGCAGAAAAGTTCTTGAGACTTTTATCTCCAGTTAGCTACTCAGAAAAAGCTAGAAGTGGTGCTGTGGCTCAAGTGGTAGAATGCTATAGCCTTGAGCAACAGAAGCTCAGGAACAAAAGGACAGGAAAAAAAAATAAATGAGCAAAAACAAGTTGTCTGTTCTGCTAGGATCTACTGTTCTTCAGAAACAGTTTCAGGTCCTTGTTATGGAACAGTCCTGTTCTTCCTTGATTCCAAGGTGGCTACAAAGTGAATGGTTTAGAATAAAAGGACAGATGAAACATGATAGAGACGCTTTTAACAAATTCATGGGCCCACCTTTAGTCCTAATAGCTTTTAGCAGTCAGAGTTTAAATGCCAATTATACATAAAGTAAACATTGCTAATATTTCATGACAAAAGATCCCATTCAAGTTGAAGGAAATGAATTTCTTTACCATTCAAATTTATTTGGCAAGCACTTTTTTGACCAAGTACCTAAAGGATTGCTTTACCTGCTGGTTCCTCAGGGAGTAAATGAAAGGATTTAGCATTGGGGCAACGGAGGTATTGAGCACTGCTATGCCCTTGCTCAAAGCCACTCCCTCCTTTGCTGAAGTTTTGACATACATGAAAATACAGCTTCCATAAGAAATGGAGACAACAATCATGTGTGAGGAACAAGTGGAAAAGGCCTTTTTCCTCTGCTCAGCAGAAGGGATTCTCAGAATTGTCCTGAGGATGAAGGCATAGGAAAGGACCACTAGTATTAAGGTCATCATGAGGGTGAATACTGCCAGGAAAAATGCCAGGAGTTCCAGGAAGGTTGTATCTGTGCAGGCGATCAGCAGCATAGGAGAAGAGTCACAGGTGAAGTGGTCAATGATGTTGGAGTCACAGAAATCCAACTGAAGCCCCATGATGATTGGTGGGAAGATAATGAGAAACCCAGCAAGCCAGGAGCTAATTACAAGCTGGATGCATACCTTGCTGCTCATTATTGTTGTATAGTGCAAGGGCTTACAGATGGCTACGTAACGATCATAGGACATGGCTGTCAAAAGGAAGAATTCTGTTGAACCAAGGAGTAATAAGAAAAACACCTGAGCCATACAAGAGTTATAGGAAATGGTCAAATCCCCAGTGGCAATGCTGACTAGGAATCTAGGAATACAAACTGTTGTGAATGAGATCTCTAGGAAGGAGAAGTTCCTAAGGAAGAAGTACATGGGTGTTTTGAGGTGTGAGTCTATCAGTGTGAGGGTTATAATAGTCAGATTTCCAGTAATACTCAGCATATAAGCGAGAAATAGAAATAGAAATATCAAAATATTTAGTGTGGGGTCATCTGTTAATCCCAGAAGAATGAACTCTATCACAGATGTTTGATTTTTCATTTCTGGTGTTGATTTTTGTCAAGTCTAAAAATCAAAAGGGAAAACAGTTACTTAAAACAGGGTAAGATTTTATCTTTTTCTTACCTACTTGGTTAAGTAACATGTAAAACCAGTAATGAAACAATACGTCAGTGACCAAATTGTGAAATACTTATTCACCACAAAAATATGTCTGTTATCCAAAGTTTACAACTTTGGTGTGGGGGCTGGGGGGACGGTGTAGAGGGAAGGATTGGGTGGGGGGGCGGGGGGAGGATGGGAAGGGATGGGAGGGGAAACAAAGGAGGAGGCTACAATGCTTGATAAGAAATGTACTCATTATCTTGCCCATGTAATTGTAACCCCTCTGTACAGTATTTTCACAATAAAAAAAGTCTATTATCAACCTTACATAACTAGCAACTTGATATTTAATTAATCATTTGATGGCACTAATAAATGCATGAATAAAAGAAAAACATGCCTACCAAATATATCTTACTTTTAAAAAATCTTTAGATAGTAATTTTAAATTTCTCAATGTTACTTTATTACTAAAACAGTAATGTAATTACCATGTATTTATTTTCTGAAAAGGAAAATTTTTCCAAAGTGTTTTTGAGTTATTTAAAGATATATAGAGAGGGCTGGGAAGGTGGCTCAGTGGTTAAGTGCTTGCCTTGAGCTAAGGAGCTGAGGGACCGCACCCAGGCACAGAGTTCAGGCCCCACAACCGACAAAAACAAAACAAAGAAAAAACATCAAGATATATAGAGAGAACTAATATTTTAACAAAAGAATTACAAACATCAATCTAATATTCATATACCTCTAAAGAAACAAACAGTATTTTGCAGTGTTTTAAAAGCTTTCAAGTTTTTACTTTCTGAATAAAATAGCATATGATCACTTCCTACACAAGAGTCTATTAGCGAAATCTAAATGACTTAGTATATACAGTTATTATCTAATAAAAAACATGTACTTACAATTGTGTAATCTCATAGCAGAGCAGCAGTGAGATTGCTCAGGCCCAAGTTTTCCTCTGAGTGTCAGGATTTGATGCTTTCCTTTTAGAAAATTTGTACACTTCTCCACCTATGGAGAAGTGCCTTATATAATAATATAACTATATGCTATATGGGTAGAGTTTGGCAAGATGGTTCTGGTTATATACAATGAAATGGAGCATGCTTTTTGGATTGCCCAGTAGGATGGGGACAAGATCTTGGTTTCAGGTAGATGGTGTTCAACCAGAACTAATCAAAGTGTCCATGAGGTTCTGCAAGTTATAGTGAGAAATCGTGCAGTATCAAAAGCCCTAAAGGCAGTTCCAAACATTAAATTTATATTAAGTCTGAAATTTATATTAAGCTTGAAAGTCAAATAATGTAAGAATTTTGTTGTTGTTGAGTGTCTTTGGTGATTAGTTATTATTTAGGAGTAAAGGATGTAGAGATGAGGAAGGTCTGTGGGTTAATGGACAGTTTAGAACTGGATTCAGAATAGGAATTCAGAACCAGAGATCATGTTTTTCTGTAATATGAATGAAAGACAGAGACAGACAGGAAAAGAGAGGGGGGGAGAGAAAAAGTAGGCAGAAGGATGGAGGGAAGGAAGGGAGGGAGGGAGGGAGGAAGGGATAGGGAAGTGGAAAGAGATTGATAAGGAAACGGAAAGGCAAGGAAAAGGGAGAGAAAAAGAAAGAAGAAAGAAAGAAAAGAAAAGAAGAATGAAAGAAAGAAAGAGAGAGAGAAAAAAAAGAAAGAAAGAAAGAGAGAAAGAAAGAGTAAAAAGAGGGAGGAGGGAAGGAAGGAAGGAAGGAAAGAAGGAAGGAAGGAAGGAAGGAAGGAAGGAAGAGAGGGAGGGAGGGAGGGAGGAAGGGAGGGAGGGAGAAGAGGGAGGGAAGGGAAGGGAAGGGAAGGGAAGGGAAGGGAAGGGAAGGGAAGGGAAGGGAAGGAGGACAAGTAAGTACTTTGTCAGATTTTTGGAGCCAAACTTACAGTGGAACAGAAAGAGGAGGTGATAACATTCTACTTATTAATTCAGTGAAACCCTTAGTTGATGGGAGCAAAGAGAGAAAACCATAAGTGAGAATAATCAACAGCTATGGCAAAATAAGCATGAGATATGAACGAAATTTGTTGAGACAGAACGTCATCAAAAATTTACAGTGACTTTTCTAATCAGTATGGTCCAAAACTCCATCTTTGGTTTCTCTTGTTTTCCACCCTCCAAAAAATGCTATAGGAGGAATAGAGTTCCTGACCCTGATGAGTAGAAATCCTCACTAATATAGTGTTTTACTTAGTCTTCAGTAATTCTTGTGTAATTCTTATTTTTGCTTTATGCACCTGCCAGTTGGAAATTTGTTTTTCCAATTATTATTTGCCAAAGAAGTATACTTATTATATCTGTTTCTTTTACCTCCTTGAAACACACACAGGGGACTTTTGTAGGAAAGCAGAATGAAGATGTCTCTCCTGAGGAATGGTACTAATGAGGCCACAACATTAGGTGGAATAATTTTAATTAGTTTATTTCAGAAATTATTTTAACACATTAAATGTCAGAAGAGTATGTAATTCCAACAGTAAGGAAATGATAAGTTCTCTATTTTTACTTCACTATTATATTTTAATCTGAAACAAATTTCTAACTAACATAATCTCCCCCAGAAATATGTAAAAAAAATACAAAAAGGAAAGAAAAAAATAGCAAGAAGAAAGATCCACAATTACATGACATAAGTTATTCAAATGTTTTATTTATTAATACAATTACATTAAGTGGGTGTTGTGGTTCATTCCTGTTATCCCAGCAAGCCAGGTGGCTGAGATCTGTGTATCATGGTTTGAAGCCACCCTGGAAAGGAAAGTCTATGAGACTTTTATCTCCAATAAAATCTACTAAAAAATAATAAAGCCAGAACTGGAGCTGCACCTTAATTGGTAGAGTGCTCACTTTGAGCAAAAGAAACTCAGAGACAGTGCCCAGGCCCTAAACTCAAGTCCCAGGATCCGGATCAGCTGAAAAAAATTAATTTATTTAATTTAATTTAATAATATATATGTACACTAAGTACTTATTTTAAGCAAAGCTTGTGTGAAATTTTTAAAATATATTTTTATTGTGAAAATACTGTACAGAGGGGTTACAATTACATGGGTAAGATAATGAGCACTTTTTTTTTTTAATTTTATTTTATTTTATTTGAGAACATACTGTACAGAGGGGTTACAATTACATGGGCAGGATAATGCATACATTTCTTACCAAGTATTGCAGCCTCCTCCTTTGTTTACCCTTCACCTCCATTCCCAGCCTCCCCCCTCCCCCCCACCCAATCATACCCCCCCCCCGCCCCCCCCCACACACCGACATTGTAAAGCTGGTTTTGACATGACATTTTGTACTTCTCATTGTTGCAACAGGTCCACCTGAATCCTTAAACGACTTGTTTGTCCCCATCTCCTCCACATGTTATACTGACATCAAATATAGTGAAAGTGGGGGTTACACTGTGGGGGAGGGACATACAAAGCAACAAAGAAATAATCTTATAAATGCGTTATAAAAACATGCATGAAAGAAATAAAAACATTAAAATACATATTTGAGGGTTCATTTTCCTAACATCACATTCTCTGACTTTTTCCGCTTGACTCATACCTATACTAGATATTGCAAATAAGGGAAACCATGGGACTTATGTTTCTTTGGGCCTGGCTTACTTCACTTAATATAATTTTTTCCAAGCCTTTCCATTTCCTAACAAATGGGGAAATGTCATTCTTTCTGATGGAGGCATAGAATTCCATTGTGTATATATACCACATTTTCTTGATCCATTCATCTACTGAGGGGCATCTGGGTTGGTTCCATATCTTAGCTATGGTAAATAATGCTGCAATAAACATAGTTGTGCTGGTAGCTTTAGTGTGGTCTTTTTTGTAAACACTAGGGTAAATGCCCAAAAGTGGGATTGCTGGGTCATAGGGGAGTTCTATGTGAAGTCTTTTGAGGAACCTCCATACTGCTTTCCAAAGTGGTTGAACAAGTTTACATTCCCACAAACAATGAAGTAAGGTTCCTTTCTGTCCACATCCTCTCCAGCATCTGTTGTTGTTAGAGTTCTTGATTTTTGCCGTTCTAACTGGAGTGAGGTGATATCTCAATGATGTTTTGATTTGCATTTCTTTTATGGCTAGGGATGTTGAACATTTCTTCAAGTGTCTATTGGCCATCCTTCTTTCTTCTTCAGAGAAGCTTCTCTTTAAGTCTTTCGCCCACTTACTTATTGGGCAGTTGTTTCTTTGAGGATTTGTTGTTGGGGGGTTTAATTTTTTGAGTTCCAAGTATATTTTAGATATGAGACCCTTGTCCGTTGTATGGCTAGTAAAGATCTTCTCCCAATCCGTAGGCTTTCTATTGATCTTGCTAGCTATGTCATTTGCCCTGCAGAAGCTCTGCAACCTTATGCAATCCCATTTGTCCAACCTTTCTTCGATTTGTTGTGTTTCCGGGTCTCTATTCAGAAAATTTCGGCCTGAGCCAAGGAGACCCAGGGTTTCTCCTATTCCATCCTGTAATGTTTTCAGAGTGTCTGCTTTGAGTTCAAGGTCTTTGATCCATTTGGAGTTGATTCTGGTGCAGGGTGATAGATAAGGATCTAGCTTTAGTTTTCTACATGTAGTTAACCAGTTTTGCCAGCACCATTTACTGAAGAGGCTGTCTGTCTTCCATTCTATTGTTTTAGCACCCTTATCGAAGATTAGATGGCTATAGGTCTGTGGGTTCATTTCTGGGTTTTCAATTCTATTCCATTGGTCCTGAGGTGTGTTCTTATGCCAATACCAAGCTGTTTTGATTACTATGGCTTTATAGTAGAGTTTGAAATTTGGTATTGATATTCCTCCAGCACTGTTCTTTCCGTTGAGGAGCGTTTTTGCCTTTCGGGGTCTTTTATTGTTCCATATGAATTTTTGGATTGCCTCTTCTATTTCCTTGAAGAATGAGGG